CGCATGTGGAATATTCAAGGAATTTCAATGATTTTACCACAGCAATTACAAGATATTTTCGTCTTAAGGAGGATTTGATTCCAATTAGTGAATAAACGTCTGTATGTCACTCCCCAACACGCAGTGACATCTAAAAATGGAGCTTTTAAACAGCTAATTTTATTAATCAAAGCGATATCTATGTTTGAAGAAGAAAAAATAGCATCATGTGCTCATCAATTGTGTAACACGTGTGGGATAGTCAAGGGATTTCAATTATTTTAACAAATAATTCCAAGATATGGTCGCATTACGGAGAATTTGAATTCAGTTAGTGAATACGTCATGGTAAGTATTTCACTCCCCCGCACGTTGTGAAATATAAAATGAAGCTTTTAAAAAGCTAATTTTATTAATCAAAGCGACATCTGTGTTTTTGAAGTCGTTATTTCTATTTCAAAGTAAAGTGTAATTACGTCATCGCAGGTAGCCTTGTACTGCCACTCAAAAGTTGCACTTTTCTTCAATATTACTGCCGGCTTCCGTTTTGTATTCAAATGATGGGCATTACTGAAACGCTTAGAGAAAAGCTTTTTAATTTGCGTGTTGTGCGTTGATTCAAGAAAAGGAAGCGATTACATAACTGATGATGGTAAAATTACATTTCCTGGATTATTTTTCCATATAATTTACGACGATATATATAAGAGTCATAGTCAGAACGAAAAAAAGAAAAAAAAAAGAGATTATTTTTACCTCAAAAGGGTTTTCCTATTCTGTCATATTCTATATTCGGTAAATCACTAACAAAACTGGTTATGTTTTTCACGCAAGGTAACACGCAACGTAAGGTAAAACTATAGCAAAATAACATAATGTTAGTAATCTCTATTTTCAGCAACATTTTCTTTCATCTACAGTACCTTACAATTGCACTTTTTCTGTTAACATTTTCTTTTCGTTTAATTGTTTTCCCCCTGTTTCTCTGCCCAAGTTTCTTTGAACGGTCAATCCCCTTAAATAAATGTATTCACGGCTTATCTATTCGTTCAAACAACTTCCATATTTAAGCCACACTGTACTATTGTAGCTACCTGCTCCCTCTATATAGAAAACCTCCCCAATCGGAGCCTATTGGTCCCCCATGATCCTCCTTTACTTATGCTAATTGAGAGCTGAGTAAATGAGATAGCCACCTGTCATAGTGACCTCGCTGGCTAGCTGGGTGGTCTAATCCCTTCTGGCTGAACTAGTACAGCCGGCCTTTAAACCTCCCATGAAACAGTTCAGTATCATCTTTTGCACCAATACTTGATGGCGTCATCTGCGACGAGACGTACCGGAGAGGTGAGCTGTCTGGCAGGTCGTTGATGTAGTACAGTAATAGAGAGGGTCCCAGAACAAAGCCTTGAGGAACACCAATATTTGGGAATCCGAAGCAGCTGCATATTTTCGAGCTCCATCGATATGGAACGTTTTTCCTATCCGTCCAAAGATGCCCCCTGAATATTCCTCCCTCCGATTGCTCAGAAATTAACAAGCTTACCCATTATACGAAACAGGGGCAGTTTTACTAGCTTGTATATTCGGAGATTTATTGACATAATTGAAATGATCCTTATTATGAAAGGTGAAGTGCATCTGACAGCACAGTGGGTCTTTGTGTTTTATAGGTTCTAGGACACCTACCCCCTGGACATCCACCCCCGGATAACCACCATCAGTGAACTACCACCAAGGACAAGTACCCCCTAGGGCAACCACCCTCTAGGACGACTACCCCCGGACAACGACCCCCGGATAACTACCCCATAGGACAACTACCCCTAAGACAAATATTCCCCGGGCAACTACCCCCTAGGACAAATACCCCCGGACAACTACTCCAGACAACTACCGCCCAGACAACTACCCCCTACGATAACCATCCTCTAGGAAAACTACCCCCGGACAACTATCCTAGGGGTAGTTGTCTGGGGGTATTTGTCCCGGGGGTGGAGTAGTTGTCCTAGGGCGTAGTTGACTTGCTGTGGTTATCCTGGGGGTGGATGTCCAGGGGGTAGGTGTCCGGATAGGTGTTTTATGCGCAGTGATCACAACATTTCTGGAGCACGTAACTTATATTGCTGGAATCGCAGGCTTTTGTTTTTCTTGACAATGTACATGGGAAATAAATAACAGATTCAAATGTCAAAGTTCAGTGAATGAACAGGTTGAACTTTGTTTAAAGTAAAAACAATTTGTTTGCTTTCTAGTACTTGCTAGTTTAGACAAATATAACAGCAGGAATGTTCTCTAAAAGGATGGCTCTTTAAATGTCTTCATGAATATGCTCCCTCCCCCACAAAATAATAATATTTAAAATAAATAAGAAAAGGAAAGCAATAGAGATATCATTTGCCTACATTTGTGCGGTCCTATATATTATTTTCAGTTTTTAGTTGATGTTTTCTTCTTTTCGCTACATGATCAACATTTTTCCAATGGCTTTTAGAAAGTTCATCGCATAATGTTTTAAGTCCACAGTTATTGAATCTTTTTAAAGGATTTGAGTAAAATCCCAATTTTTGAAGAAAAATAATGTTTTTTGAAATTATTGGAAGATTTAACAGGGTATTATTTGCCTATATTTGTGCGGTCCTATATAATATTTTCAGTTTTTAGTTGATGTTTTCTCCTTTTCGCTACATGATCAACATTTTTCCAATGGCTTTTAGAAAGTTCATCGCATAATGTTTTAAGTCCACAGTAATTGAATCTTTTTAAAGGATTTGAGTAAAATCCCAATTTTTGAAGAAAAACAATGTTTTTTTGAAATTATTGGAAGATTTCACAGGGTATATAAATCATTCTTTTACAACTATACCGCTTGAAACACTTTAGTTTAATTAAAGCCCACACTTTTTAGTAAGACAAAAGCACCGCAACAGTGATTTCATTAACAATTTATTCTAATCACCTAATCGTTGGGTGTATATTGTTCTCGAAAAACGAGTGTGATTGTCGAAAACAAAACAATCATCGCCTTATTATTTTTCCTTTCAAAATAGCTTTTAAGGTACTATGTCCCATTTGCAGGCCAAAAAAATGAAAAAGTTAAATTCCAACTGCATTTGAAAGATAATACTAATTTAGAACTTCTCCAAAAAAGGTGGGGCTTGAAAATGTCTTCAAGTGGGAAAATAACGACTATTAGTTGTCAAATCGATTTTAGGGCTATAGAGCCCAAAAGTAATAGTCTTGATTTTCAGACAATATTGTACCGAATGGTCATACGTTTTATGCTGTGCAAAGATTCAATCAGTTTAATCTTGGCCATCACAAGAAGTGGGTTATTGATGTAGACAAATGCTCATGTACCCTTTACAACTCTTTTCATGTATGTTATTACCAAAGAAGAAAAAAAGCCAGTCAGTCACTCAATAGTGTCTGACAGTGAAGTCTAGCAAGTAAACGGGTTTCCTTGCATAATTCGAATATGAGGACACTGCTAACGTTTAAATTTCACAGATAGGACATACATGACATATTCATAATTCCTGCAAAGTTCTACAGCATTTGAGGTTGGCTGCAAAAGAGACATAGTACCTTTAAACAGGAATTAGAGTGCAGGTGGGGTAGGTAATGAATAAACCATTATCGTGGAAATGAGTGATTGATTTACAAATTATTTGTATCAATGTTCCCTGAAGCGCAAATATTAAGTGAAAAAAGCTTCCATTTACCCACTTTTCCACATTATCTTTTAAATCTCTACTCCTTAACAACGCTAAAACAAAACTTTTTCTACATATGATTAAGCCTCGAAAAACAATTACCCTCCAAACGGAAATAATTTCCCCTCGAAAAGAAAATGGAATATAAAAGGATTAAAGAGTACTTTGGACTTGCTATATCTTAATTTTAATTGGGAATGTAAGTTAGTCAGCATTACAGTCGATGTGCGTTGAGGTTCTACGAACTGCGTATAGTTTTCTAGTCATTTCTCCATAATTATTTATTAGAGCACAACTTTTGATATTGTCAGTATGAACGTGTGGTTGGCCCTTCATCTTCTCATGCTGTTTTTCATAACAGAATCCAAAGGTAGGCAAATATTCGTTACGCTAATTTTGTGCTGTTTTTGATATGCTGCCTTTTAATGATGTTATAGGCTAGCCTATTATGTACTAGGAACGAAACTTTGTTTGAAACGATTCGATCGAGCCGGAGTACATTTGTGTTATACTTAGTTAACATGTGGCACCAAGTGATGTCGGGTGACATGTTTACGGACCCTATTTTACGTTTGCAATTAAGAACCGTATTTTATTTCCGCAAATACGAAACGTCGGAATTATGAACCTTCGGAAAAAGGACATGTTACCTCAATGAGCGTACCTGTTTATAATCACATAACAAATGATCCTGGTCATTTTTTTAAACAGTGAACTACGCAACACTGAAGTAAAATAATCAACGCTTAGAAATAAGAAATCTCGATACGCATATCGCGGTGAGATTTTAAGTTCTATATGAACCTAAAAATATAAATACACTGCAACTGTAATTGAAACTTCAACCTATTTTCCTGACATCGAGAAATAAAGTGTGACTGAACTCTGTAGTTGTTGTAATAGTTTTTGAACAAACAAGATTCGTTTAGATATCAACAGTTTTATGAACATGTGTAGGATATTCGGTTAGTTCGTGGCTCATATATTTACCACATAATCGGAGAATAAAGAATTATAATGTGGGACTTAAGACATGATTTCATCTGGAAATGAAGAAGCCATTCTAGTGTTTATTATCATGAAATTGTCGCTACACCATCGTTTTTAGTCTCATAAAACTTCCGAGCTTTTTCCATGGCTTGCAAACAACTTAAATGCCTGTTATCGTTTTGAAAAGGTACAATGGTTTATTCCATGGAAATGCGATAAACATTTCAGGTATACATACATGGAATTAAAACATGTATTCTTTGCACCTCTCCGCTTAATTATTAATGCTTTTAATTTTTTATTCTAAAACACCAGCCAAGAATCATCGGAAGAAACATTGGAAGAAAGTTTTATCAAATAATGTAAGTATTTGCCATCTAATTATTTTCATGAACACACACAAGCGCATACGTACATATACCTCAAGACAATTTGGAAAGTCAATATTGAATGATTATACCTCTATTTTTATGGAATAATCATCACTACGTATAGAATTATTAGAAACTGTGTTTATTCCTCTTCAGAATGATGTCCCATTTGTTATTATTGATTAGTCATTGAATTATAGTACATCCAACAAAAAAATCATACCGAATATGGTATCAATTTTAAATAGGAAAAGACACATTTTATGAAACTAACCAAAGCGATGATACATATATAATATATATATTATATATATATATATACATATATAATATATATATGTGCGTGTGTGTTTATGTAACGTTAAAAAAGACCATGACATTGCACTATTGCCAATTCATGTCAACTTTATTATCTGAATTTCGAATGCAAACTGGTTCCTTCTTCAGGGAGGTTATGCATGCATAATGTATTTAGTTAGTCAAATTTAAAAATCGTAAAGGAAAAACAAAATAAATTGTTAATGTCTATACTCGTTTATTTACTCTTCAACGTCTATCTCATATTTTTTTTTATATATTTTTCTTTTCCTCGCATGCGAACTTTCTCTTGACAATGAAGTTGAATTCATGTTTATATTTTGTGAAATAAACTTGCCCACTTTAATTGAAATGACGACTTTCGTCGATGCCTTGTTTTCGATCGCGTTCTGAATTTCGTATTCTTATTTTTCTTCTTGTTGATCTTAAATTGAATTTCTCTCGCTTTTACAAGAATCACATGGTCAATCAATGCTGTTTTCTCCATTTACTACCAACGAGATTAATGATATTGTTCATGATATTAAAACCCACAAAAGTTCCGGCTACGGCGATATTGCGAATCATCTATTGAACAAATAATCAACGAAATTCCAAGTCCTTTACCTTATATACTCAGTTTATCTCTGACCAACGGAACAGTTCCCAATAAGATCAGTGGAAATTTCAAGAAAGGTAACAAGCATGATATTGTACCGGCATGAAACGCGACTGACACAGCAGAATTTGTTTTTAATGACTGGTTTTACCAGTATGTTCTAATTAAAATCATCAAATAATTGATATATTCTTGTCGGGTTGAACATCCTAAGAACCAATAATTATTTTCGTTGTCGAGTGATTGATGTTTTTACTCTTAAAATGAAATGGTAAAATATACACATAATTTGCGAAATAAATAATGATAAAAAAACATAATTTTGAAATAGGTTGGACCTTTTGAATAAGGCAACACCTCTCCATATGTTCGGAAGCGAAAACTTCTAAAAGTTAACCGCAAGCATGGTAAGAATACTGATGACCCATACGTAAAACGTCGATCATTATAGGGAAATAAGTCGGAAGATTGAACCATTTATGACAACAATTAAGTCACTCTGTCACGAATGATTCACTGCATGGCAAAATGAGTAATCATGATTGATTCATTAAGCACATTTTAAAATAAATATTCACATATGATTCATTATATAAAGCGACCCTCTGTAGTTATCAAACTATGTTTATCTAATAAATACTATTAATTCATATCTATAATTATTTAATTCTTATTTTTATTCTCAACTCTTTCTTTGACAGGATGAAACGCGTTCACATTCGTTTAGCTTCAGGCAGCCTTATTTTGTACCACAGTTAAAAAGAACGTATGTAAGTATTTTTTCTGTCATTAAAACCTTATTTTCTGCCGACCGAGAATGGTAATACCATCGAATAAAGAAGCACAGGAAGCTTTTCATAGTAGCAGAATAGGATAGGGGGCGGAGCTCATATCTTACACAACAGCCTAGCCATGTTCTTAAAAAAATTGCGCTGTGGTCTGGAGAAAAAGACTACGTCATTAGCTCATATCCTAGAGATGTAATCTTTGATGTGTCTCTATGGCTTATATAGAAATGAAATGAACGTACACAAGCACCATTAATGATTAATATCACGAGGAGGGTGATGATTAATATACGAATGGAGACTCTAAAGACTTTCTTACAATAGGCCTACCGATATCAATCTATGATCACTGACAGGTGGTTATCTCATCAAATCACCTCTCAATTAACATAAGAAAAAGGGGACCATGGGGGACCAATGGAACCGCTTAGGAATTGTTTGCTATATAAAGGGCGCATGTAGCAATAAGAAGATCAGTGGGGCTTTAAGAGGATGGAGGGATCTTTGCCATAATAATATTGTTCCTGCCTGGTCTGCTATGAAACGCGGGAGAGCGAAGCGAGTGAGCAATTACCACTCTTTGAATATGCATGCATCTAATTTACAATGTAGGTCTGTTTGTTCCTATTTTATAATATTAATATTTATTCATATTTTTCAGTGTCCATGTAATGGCATTAATAATTATTCAATATAGATATTTTTAACAGAATAATTAATGGATTTTCTAATTAATCTAAATGCTAATAAATATTTTATCTTAAAATTTTAGTAAAGCTGTAAATAATACACAGTATTCATGTTTGCAATGAGGAATTACGGGTATTCAAGGCGTGTGAGTGCTTTTTTTCAAAGAAAAAGATAGTTCTATCAACTATGCATACGTGACAGGGGTACCTGATGCTTGTTTGTCAATTCAATAGTCATTATTAAACAAGTGCAATTGATTTCCAAAAGCGAGCAAAATTTGAGAATGAAAAACAATCCTGACCATTATCCCCCAAAAAGTTTGGCCTACGATTAATCTCTCTCCCGTCATCTAAAAAAAAGGGGTTCGATAAAAAGGTCATACACAATCATCGCATTAACGCCTACATCAGAGATTTGTTTTGATAAAATCTCAAAAGCCTTTGAGTGGCTGTTTGTTAACAAATCGTCATCTTTTCCCTACCGAGGGGAAGGGGAGGTGGGGGGGGGGGGGAGGCGTTAGTTGATTTGAGATTTTCTTTTCAGCGGGAATCAACAGAAAACATGAGTAAATTTGTTGCCGAAAATCAAAATAAATAAATTTTGTTTCATGGTACAGAGAGAGCACTTTACCAACAAAATACCTTATAAAATTAAGAAATGGTGAGAAAGTAATCGTACAATGTTCTCATCGCTTCGTGTTAACTTTATGTTAAAGTCGATTTCGGTACTTGCTTGTTATAACATACAGTCTTGAGACAGAAGTCGTGTCCGCAAAAACGTTAAACGGAGAATTAGAATAACAATACATTTATTTAAACATATTTGTGGCTTACACTCAGTAAATAAGATCGATTGATCGATCTGTATTGAAGAACAAGTCAGAATAAAAAAAATCATTTGTAATGATTTGTTATAATTCTTCCCGTTTTTTAAATGCTTGTTTTTAATTCTTTCCCTCATTTCAATCCTTGTTTTGTAATTCTTCCTGTTATTTCAATGCTTGTTTACATTCGATACGCAGATACAAATTATTGCGCTTGAGTCGTCGTCAAAGATTCAGATATGTTACATCACCGAGGATGTCGTAGGGATATATCATATCATATATCTCCCGCGAATTCTATTCCTCCTATTGTGAATCACATTGTTCGCGGGTCTAGTCCCGCCGTGACAGTACTGTTCTTTGGCAACACATTCATCTACATTTGCCTATCTCCATCCATGTGTTAAATGGATACCCGTACGAAGCGAGCGTTACTGTTGCTGGAGTGGCATGTATGCGCTTGTAAATGGCGCCGGGCCGGAATACCGCCAAAAGAGCCTAGCATAATTGGATTTGCATTATCATTATTATTATCTGTTTGGTATTTACTTGTTGAAAAACTTCTTCCTTAACAATCAATTTGAACATTTTCGTCACTTGAGTGAGAACATTCGAACGCTTACAATGATTTAAATTTTAGTTAAATGGTGTTTAGACAGCTTCGAGAGAATATGGTTGTAAAGGTTTGAGAGAATGTGTTAGCCTCGTCGCTGTTTATAGTGTTGCCCTTCTTGATTCTTATGTTGGTAGACTCCCGTATCCATCTCGTTGGCTCGTGTCTCGTGGTCCTCTATGATCAATAGGAACTTTTAGATAACGTTCTTTTCAGGCACTGGCAGTGACGTCACATTGCCTTAAAAGGGAAGCCCACGTTCTCGTCGTGCAGAATCTTAAAAGTCCCTAATATTTTGCACTTGTCCCAGTTTATTGAATGGTTTTGGGTTGCTACAAGATCTCTAATAGCGGATGTAATGCATGATGTTATCCGGTTTCATTGAATTGGGACAATGTATATAGTACTGAAGATGAATTCCAAAAGGTTGAACTTACCATCAACTGTTAATTGTGTGCGCTTGGGTAATTCTTGAACCTGGCGCAGTCTCTCTCCCACTACGGCCATATTAAAATATCTTTAATGGGTGTACAAGTCTGCACACAGCAAAACCCGTAGACCTTCTAAAATATACCCACCAGTCTCTCGGAAAGTCTTCGGGTGAGGGAAAAGTCAAAGCTTTATATAAGACGGGTAATTGGTCATACAACTGAAGATGAAGCCTGGTGATTGACAACTCCTATTATTGGTTAAACACCCGAACGATGTCAAATTCCACATGGGCCCCCACTCCTATGCGTCTTTAGGTATAGCATAGCAGTAAACGTTTCATCACATTCTTTCTTGTCGACTACGACCAGTCCATGCTATGACTAAAGCTGTTCGCTTGTCTGCCGGTTAGATAAGGATATCCGTATTTCTTGCTTAGTTTTTTCTGCAGATGTAAAGGTTTTGTTTTTTCAGGAATGCTATTTTGAATAATCCCAACTGCCTCAACTATCCAGCTTGTTCCACAAGTAAAAGCTTTGCTGCTTCCTCTGTAGCTACAATGAGATCTTCATGAATGGGATATCTTTTCTAGGCTTACTGCGTAATTTAATTATTTCCCAAATACAGATGTTTCGGCCTCTGCAAGATGGTAGCTAGAATCACAAATTATGACAACGATAATTTTATTATCATAATAGTTATTATCATTACCATTATAAAAAATTAAAATTATCATTATTGCATGACATTTTCCATTTTTTGTATTCATTACGTAAACAACAATGTTTTTTATATTTCTTTTTAATCTCCCGAAGGGTCGGATTGAGATTGCAGCCTGCATGGACAATTTCACTTATGATAATCCATTGATAGGACTGAACAGGCAAAACATTGTTCGTCATGTGAAACCGGGTACCCGTGTCATGAGTAGAACTTGCATCGACCACAACGCACCGTGCTACGGTATATGTAAGTGTATAATTAACATTTTTTAATACGAATTAATTATTAATCATATTCCGGGTATTTATTTGGGATGCTAAATTTTAATTGCTTAATATAAATATATATTTATTTTCCATTCTATTAACGTGATTAGAAAATATATGACTGGTCTCAGACTTAGTAGATTTTTTTTTCTTTTTTTTCCTACCGTATGGCCATGATTTTTTTTGTTTTCATAGGTTTTTATTCATTTCTCTCATAAAGAAAAACATTATTTATAACATTGCATACAAAATAACAAAATAATTTTAACATAGGTCTTAATAAATTTTCCAATGAACTTTTACATTTACATACAAAAGTTACACATTTACAGATAAAAAATAAACACATAAACAAAATAATATTTTCACCAAAATAAAAAAAAATAAAAAAAACAATTTTCCCGACCAGTTTGATTATAAATCTCAAATTATTTCTTTTCCACAATATTCTGTTAACCTATATTCCTCTTCAATTTCCTTTAGAGACAAAAAAAATTATATATATATAAAGAGAAAGAGCTAGAAAACACCTACTACCCCCGCCTTACACAACATCTAAACACATAACAAGTACAACAGTATACAAAACACACACCAACATAGAACGAACAAACAAACAAAAGTAAAAGAAGAAGAAAAGAAGTGAAAAAGAAGAAAAAGAAAGAAAAAAAAAAAAAAAAAAAGAAAGAAAGAAAAAAAAGAAAAAAAATAGAGAAGAGAGGAGGGTCAGGAAGTTGTATATTGAGAAAATTAAAAACTGAAGACATTTATTCTTAACTTTCCAAAGCTTCCCATTTCCTTAAATGAATTGAAAGTGTGTCTCTTTCCAATGAAAGTTTTTTTCTCTTCATTTCTATTTTCCAACAATCTATATTCTATTTATTTTGCTTTTGGTGGGTTTCCCTTCTCTCTACTGTGGAAAATCATATATTTAATCAAAATCAAAATGTGGTTCAATAATTGCTCTGTTTTAAAAGTAGTGTCATCTATTCCTATATGAATTTCTTTCCAGGATAATTTCTTGGATGTTAGCACCCGTGGATCGCTATCGCAAATTCTTTAGAAAAATGAAGTAAATTTCATGATAGCAGTGTCCCCAATTACAATGACGTACTACACAATCCAAATCAAGACATATACTATCTGGTATTGAAATTAAACTTGAAGCTTTTTACACGTTTATGTGAGAAAATCATGAAATCGCATGCTAATACGATTGAAATTGAATGATCGCATCGTTAAATCGGAAGCAACTCTGATGAATTCACCTCGAGTAACAACGAATCAGTGAAAATTTTGAACATGTTCAAAATTTTCGCTAATTCGTTGTAGCTCGAGGTAAGCTTGCTTAACACTCGTAATATACTCGCATTACTCGTAACAAGCTCGCGCTGCACTCTTCATAACTCGTAGCAACTCGCCACCTTATGAAGAGTGCAGCGCGAGCTTGTTACAAGTAATGCGTGTATATTACGAGTGTAGGCGAGTCGGGAATTTTTTTTGAACATGTTCAAAATTTTGGAACTGCTCGCGACTTCAAGAAGAGTCGTGGAATGTTGTAAAGAGTTAAGCAGGGCTCCCACTTAGCCGAGTTGTATTAGCGAGTTATGGGGAGTTGTGGTGAGTTGCATCAAAGAGGCACTCGCAATAACTCGCGAATAATTCGGTATGGCTTAGCGTAACTCTTTACAACATTCCACGACTCTCCTCGAAGTCGCGAGCAGTTCCAAAGTTTGGAACATGTTCACAAAAATTCCCCGATTCGTTGCAATTCGAGGTGAACTCGCCTACACTCGTAATATACACGCATTACTTGTAGCAAGCTCGCGCTGCACTGAATGTTAAAACGGCTTGCCAATATACACGCATGACCAGTGGAGCCTGCTCGGCGCCCGGGCACCGCTTGTTTTTAGGGTACCGCTCAGTCGCCGCTGAAGTTTTAGCGTGGAGTTAAAATTCGACGGCGCCTGCTCACTTTTCACTCGCCGTCCAAAGCGATCGCCGTCGAGCGATTTAGGTCAAAAACCGAAGCTGCTAGGTCAAAGGATGCCGAGCGGTCGTCACCCAGTCGGTGCCCGTTCGTCGCTGGGAGATCAGTCGGTCACTGGGCGGCGAGTTCAAAATCGGTCGGCAGCCTTTGACCTCGCAGCTTCGATTTATGACCTAAATCGCTCGACGGCGAACACTCGATTAAGTCGTTGTCCGGGCGGCGACCGCCCGGGCAACGAGCGTATTTTGGTGCCCCGCCGATCAACAGCCGGCCGTCGGGCAATTTCATTAAAATCAGGCATTGTTGGCTCTACATCCTGCTCGACTTCTCCAAAAATCGTTTGGCGATGCCTAAATTCTAGCGGCGACCGAGCAGGATACAAATCGGTCGGTCGCTGCCCTGAGTTGTGACCATAGCTTTAAAGTCTCTAATGACATTACCCGAGTGACAAACAGTCGGTCGGTTAGAAGTTGGTCTACAGTCGGGCTGGGGTCTGTTAGGCGACGTAGCTCAGGTATACAAGTTCATCTTAAATATACATTTGCAAGGAAATTATTTCCCTTTTCACTAACTCGTCATTTTCTTCTGATTACGTTCCCGACAGGCGTGAAAAGTGGAGGGGGTGCCATATGTAAGCAGCAGTATGGCTATGTGATGGTTCCGGTGCAGAAGTCGATCTCCAGAGGTCGAGTCGAGTATGAATACGACTTTATAAAGTACAACATGTCATGCAGTTGTGCCATACAAGAGCCAATCAGATAGGCCACGTGGTATCAGGAAAATAGAAAAATTTGTATCCCGTAAAATGTTATTATTTAAGGCAATATAAGTCGTGATTGTTTAAATATTAGGAATGTTTAGAGTAAAGTGCACCTTTTTTAAAATGCCTAACCCTATAATCATATTTTATATAATGTAGATAGGAAAGAGTTGCGAATCTATACAGTAGGGGCTGTGGGAAGCGAGTCTCCCCCCCCCCCCCTCTTCAAAGCGAAAAATGTGGAAACAAGAGACAGAGATGGTGAGAAAACGAAAGTGAGACGGAAACGATAGCCCCCCCCCCCCCCCCCAAACAAAAAAAAACACCAAAAAAACAAAACACACACACAACCACCCACCCTCCGCCAATCGGTGTTTTTTTTAATTCGCACTTGTTTCCAGCAGATAAGACAGGTGTCTCCCCCTCCTCATTGAGATTCGAGATATGCCATTGTCACCGATTACGAGGCATTGACAGAGAAGCAAAAGTTTATTTTTCTTGTGTTATTATTCTTGATAACTCCGATGTTTCGTTGATCCAAAGAATCATTAAAGGAGAAATTACCCCGCAGAATAACTTAAGTTGTTCTGAGAGATTTATTGCATTCTTGCCCATTAATCTACAAGATTCCCCACCAAAGTGTAGGAGAAAGGCATAAAGCAAGAATAAAGAAGTTTCTCAGCAAGACATGGGCATCGCCTTTGTCTTGATCGCATGACGTACATCCGGGGTCGTTTATGCACTAAATGTATTCAAATTTATGGATGCTTCCTTCCCAGGTGTTTGTAGTGTTGAATAATTTCATTTACCTGCTATTTTCCTTTGTAATCCAATTGACAGAACACAAATTGCATAAATAAGTTGGTGCTATTCTGTATTGAAATTTTCGCATAAATAATATAGATTTTTCAACCGCTATATCTTAGTATTTTTTGATAATTGAATTACAATTGTTACCTTATGATATATTTTACACCAAATTACACCTTCTCAGCTACGATTTCCCCTCATTAAAAATTAAAGGTTTTGTTATTGAATTGCAAAGTCTTTCCAATTGAAGCTCAGTGTATGATACATGTTGTGTCACATTTTCAATTTATATATCTCTTGTACACGTTCGTAAAATTTATTGTACTTCAAAAGGCAGGAATTCATCTCGTTTTTCAGAATACTTACACTTATTCTTTGAGGTTAGTTTTCCTTAAGTCTAAAAGGTATTTTATTTCCATGTTTCGTAACTCCAAAGGTTTGTAATTTCTAAAACTGAAAAAAGGGTTTATTTTTGGGAAAATGAACTAGAACCCTATATAATCTCGAAATTATGAACCTTCGAAGTAATGAAGTCTATTTAACTTTTGGAAAAATTAATTTTAGGAATCACGAACGCTCCTCCATTATTCGGAATTACGAATATTCGGAATATTGAGACCAATTTTAATTTACGAAATTTAAATCTTTACGAACCTATTTTATTTGTAATAATTATGATCACCATCATCCACCACCTTTAAAGGTAAACTGTTTTCATTAACCTTAGTAAAATTAAGGGCCCCCCCCCCCCTATGGAAGAGGATTTTGTTAATATTAATAATGTTAATATTAATTATTATTAACTATAGGCCTAATCATGTGGGTAGGCCTTCATCACATGTGTGTTCTCACTTTTTGATGGTGATTTTCTGCACGGTAGAAAACAATAATACTTTGCCCATGTATGAACCATGTCACTTCGTGTCTTTTGACCAATCAAGTACCCTTTTTATATTGCCTTGTCACAATGGAGGCAGACAAAAATAGACGGGAATACCCGATAACTGAAATCTTATTCAATGTAATTTCTTGCCCGAGTTTTTAAGAGTAGGACGATAAATATAATTTATATTCCTCATTGACATAAAGTCATTGAGAGCTGACCTACAACAGCGTTTTCTAATGCCTTTTGCACGTAAACAACATGAAGAAAAAGAAGGGAGGGGTTTACTTCATTTTATTGGATTTTGTTTCACTTAATAGTGTAAAGTCCCCCATAAAAGGCCCACATGGGCAACCCTGTGTTCTATTAGCGTGTACATCATAGAGTAGAGGTTGACCCAGGTGGACATTTTATGGTGGACTTCACACTATTTATTAAAATAACCCTCATGAATGTAGATTATTGGAAATTTGTCGATGATCTTACTCTGAACTATTGTAAAAGGAAAAAAAAATCCTCCAAGCACTTTTCTTGTGTTTTCAGGAACTTCAGAAATTTTCTATGAAATCGTCGAGACCAACAAGTCAACGCTTTTGTTCTATGGTCTCTTTAATTTCTCTTTTGAAGCACATTTCATCAGGTTTAAGGCGAAGTACTTGCTGGTATTTACTTTAAGTGTTAGTTACATTGTAAATGTGCTGGTTATGAGGTTTCTTTTGAGTTAAAGGACAAGTCCACTCCAAGATTAACTAACTTTTAATAGAAGCAACAAAAAAATCAGACAAACCAATCAAAAAAGTTTGAGCAAAATCGGGAAACTAATAAGAAAGTTATGATTTTTTTTTTTAAGTATGTAAAACTATGGAAACATGGAAATCTCTACACAAAAATTGCCAATTCGGTTATCAGTTTGTGACGTCATGTACTCATTATTTATCAATTGCTTTATATAGTTTCATCCCACTAATTATATTTCTATCCCCCAATACTCAATTTTCCCATGCCTTTGCACAGGTTATATGATTTTATATGACATTGCACAAAATCGTTTATGAACTTTGAAGAATTGATACTATTTTCTGAATTGTATATTCATGTTTATTGATTTTTATCTTAATAGTTTATAAAAATTCACATTTTTCATGATTTAATTGGAGAGAAAAATCTATATTAGTGCATCCACACAAAAACATATTACTATTAATCTAACTTGGATGCTAGTGTGAAGAAATAAGATTCTTAGGGGGAAAATAGGAAATTTATATTATCAATATAAATAAAAAAATTAGTTGATAGTGAGGACGTGACCTCACGGACTCATGAGTGAGTTTCCCTTTTTTTTGTGATTTACATTGTTCTATAGTTTTACATACTTTTTCAAAAAATCACTTTCTTATTAGTTAATCGATTTTGGTCAATTTTTTTTTGATTGGTATGTCTGATTTTTCTGCTTCTATTGAAAGGAATTTTTTTTTTCGAGTGGACTTGGCCTTTAAAATGCTCAAGATGATAACCGATGAGCAGCGGAAACTAGAGTTAACACTGCAACAATGTTTTTGGTAAATGTGAAAGAAAGTATGGGAGCACTTGTTCCTCTGTTAGTAGATTAGGCATGCCAGAAAAACGAAACGTTTAGATAGTTTGACTAGAAATGAATACAATATCATGTACATAATTATGATGCATATGTAATAAAAAGCATAAAATTCTCTAAATCTCAAATAATTGTGAACTGCATTTTCTGTTCAATACTATAGTCAGGTAGTGAGAACAAATTAAGATTCATTACACTAAATTATAATATCAATAATCAATTTTACAGATTCTTTGTTATTCGCTAAAACGATGGCGATTTCTAAAGGAAGAAAATGCGAAAATAACTAAAATAAAAACTGGAAAGTCTTAATCTTACAAAGCAAAATCGCGTGTTCGTTCATCCTTTCTCTCTCTCTCTCTCTCTTCATTGTTTTCTTGCTGTTTTTATTTTTAATTATCTTTCTTCTTCTTTCAAATTGTTTCATCCACTGCATAATGAAATAGGATGGAGTGAGAGAGAGAGAGAGAAAATTGATTTTCTTTTAATTTTCCGTATTGTTATCAATAGGGATACATTTCAAACTATAAGCATTGATACATAAAAAAAGAAAATAATGTAACAAAATAGTTTCAGTTTGTCTTTGTTTCAAGCATCTGCAAATGAAAAGTTTCCTTTCGCCTAGAGCCTCCTTTTATTCTACACTTTCATAATCATGATAATCGAAAGCAGTTTGTAATTTGTAAGTGCATGTGTGCGCGTGAGGTGTTACGTTGGTGAGAGAGGGTGTGTGGGGGAGGTAGCGCAAGAGATAGAGAGAGAGAGAGAGAGAGAGAGAGAGGGGGGGGGGGAGAAGGGGTGAGAGGAGAGGAAGAGAGAAATAGAGCAAAACAGAAGCAGGACAAATGATCACATAGTTTATGGGATTTTCCCGTCAATGAAATGATGATACAGTATATCTCCTGACGTCCTTCCGGAAAGAAAGAGTCTTTGTCAGACCCTTAGCAATGGCAAATATTTGTGGCTTTCACTGTACACATATGTATATTATATAACTTTAAGTGTAGTATCATTGCTCTGTTTTGAGTGTTTTCTGTCCCGCCCAAAGCACCTAGACTTAAAACAAATGGAATCCAGATAATATATATTTTCATCCCCTAAGAGGAAATAGTTCATGTTTCACAGAAGACGTCATCAGCGAATTATCAACGTGTTTATATGCTATTCATCGTAGAGATTTTAAACATACTGTTTTTACAGATCGGAATAATAAACGTACATCTCTTCGTCGTTGTTTTTTTAGAGGATGAAAATATGTATTCTCAAAATTACATTCGTTTCACGTCAAAATGGTTCGGGCGAGACAGACATGACTAAAAAATAGAGCAATAAGGTTATATTTAAAGTTATGGAATATACATATCTGCACCGTAAAGGCCAAATATACGCCATTGCTAGGGGTATGACAATACTTTGTCTCTTTTTTGCGTCGTACTTTATTTGTAAAGGCACTGGCAACCCGGTAGAAAGTATCATGTTATCAGAGACAAGGAACAGCTTGTGTGGGTTTCATAATTAGCAATCATCCAGATGTGTCAACCTAAATACGAAATATTCATACTTCACTTTGGAAATTCTTACGAAAACTGTCTAGCCAAGGCCACGTGTCTTAGGGTAAGTGGATATTGTTTTGAGTAACAAATGACGGGGAGAAAAATATCTTGTGGTGGCTCAATAAATGGCCTTTTTTTCATAAGGGGGCAGAGAGAAGCCTTTTCCTTTTAATCCTCATTTTTTCTCCAAAAGCGAGTGAATCCTTTCGAATGCCAAAAAATAAGAAGGAAAGCAAAGAATCATCGTGTCATATTCCGAAGTAAAATGAAAAATGGCATTTAACCCAATTAAACAGAGACAACAAGGGAGAAACAAAGCTTTTGAAATCCCCTTTGCTCCAATTGAATACTCAAGTATTAATAGCATCAAAGTATTGCCTTGATTACGTTGATTTGCGGTTTAGATTAATCTCGGTCCTCTACTTTTGCGACGTTCATAGAAACAAAAGCGCAGGCACTTAAGCCAGGAAATCCCCATTTTCTTTGTACAATTACATTTAACTGGGTGTGATATAGGTTGAAAATATCCTCGAAAAGACAGAAGTGTTGTGGGACCACTGCATACAATTAAAATTAGGCATAATACTTTCATCACGGGGATTAGGGTACTAGAGATGGACAAAAAACTTTAAAACAAATCGACGGCTTTATAATTCGCACTAGATTTAAGATATTGCAAGCGGTGGATGACATTAAAGAGAGTAGACAAATTATGTCAGCAAAGTAATGAAAGTGTCTAAAGAAAATTAATCATTTCTAAAACTCTTTGATCGCCTCGGAAAATTGTTGCGACACCGTTTCCGAAAAGCACACGTGCATGTTCACGTATTAACTGTTTCGCATACCCACTTCTCAACGTCATCTGAACGTGATACTGAAGCCGGCAAGCCGTCAGTACAGGTCGTTAACCTTTCAATGTAGCCCGTATAATTGTAATAGGCTATTCATGATTCATAGTTCATGACCACTTACAGGTTCTTATCAAGGTCACCCATCCATTTTCTTGGCATGTCTGATTGGCGCAAAATAATGCAATGCTTGTTAGTGATTAACATATGTCCCCGAGTAAATTGATAAAACCTATCTGGCAAAATGTCATGAAGTGTTTCTAAATTGAGATCAATTGTACTTTGTAGTGAATTAAATGTTATATAAATCAATGTGTTAATATGCAAGGGTTTGAGAATGCCCATGTTCAAGGCCATCTAGCAATCATCTCAATACTGGAGGCACGTCGGATTTCATCCCGCTATTTAACGTTCCCATCATGCGAAACAGACTAGAAACTGAATTGGGAACTTAAAAAAAAGACAGGATTACAACAACAACAAAAAACGACAGGGGGGAATAGGCCCTCTCTCTCTTTTTCCTTTTTGTGTTCTCTCTGTTTGTCTGTCTGTCTGTCTCTCTCTCTCCCTCTCTCTGTCTCTCTGTGTCTGTCTCTGTCTCTCTCTCTCTCTCTCTCTCTATATATATATATATATGTATGTGTGTGTCTGTGTGTGTGTTTTTTGTTCATGGTGTGTATAAATTTATATATATACAACGATATATACATATATATATATATTGTACGTATATTACTTGATGTAATAACCCGATTCTTGGCCAGACCACGTGTATATGTTCGATAGCACTCTATAATTCAATATCAGCTTAATACATTACAGAGAGGGAGAGTCATTCATATATTCATAAGAAAGCCCGTGCTGTTTTTGAACTAAAAGGGTGAAGTAGAAACTGGACTATGCGTCCCCTAGGGCACAACCAATCGTGTAAACACCTATAGTCAAAGTCAATCTATTCATATTTCCATCCGTCGTTTCGTTTCCAGATGATCAGGCATTCAAAAGGAAGAATCTCGAATCGGTGGGCGGATACTCCTCCTACTTCAAGCTGAGTGTTCAACCAACCTTCCAATCACCAGTTTCGACAGGGGAAAAAGATATACGTTTGAATCGACCTTCTAGTAATAATATTTGCTGTCGAATGGTACGAAAGACGAATGAGGCTAATATAATTCTGCTTCTAGACACGTTCCATCGTTCTTGATATCAACTGTAGACCTTCCTTGCTTTCGCATGTTGCCTGCAGCATATAATATGACCACTAGCGCACACCCCCGACCTCATGTTGACGACCTTGAGAAGAAATAAATATCAATTCAGCTTGCAGTGAAACCCAGCACATGAACTTACCCTTCTTGTCCAGTTACATTGCAACCCCTTGTCCCCGAAGGTTAACTTACGATCTTCAGATGACACTTAATTGTCCAATTTATGTTTGACGCGGTCATTTAAAAAACATCTTCAATCTTCTCTCTACAATTATAAAGTGAAAAGCAGATCTGGTTTAATTGTGTAACGATTGTTTAGAGGTGTTGAAAAAAAGAAAAGCTCATTCTCCACCAATCTTTACTTGCTCATGAGTTCACACATTTTTAAAAAGACGCTTAACAGACACTAATATCCGAGAGCACTATTCTTTTTTTTTATCCCCTCGGAAATTTAAAATCCCCCCCCCCTTGAGCACCAGGGGAGGGGCCCGTCTCCAAATGAAGGTAATATTAACGTGTTTTTACCTGTTGTTTTCTTCCCAGCCCCCCCCCCCCGATCCGTCACTGTTTGAGATCCATCAAAGCTAATCTTGAGCGCTGGCATGAGCATTGTATGTCGAGAGAACATGGCCATAATTCAATCTGGATTGTTTATCCTGCAGTAGATTATTTGAACCAGCAAAATAAAAAAAAACCTCACAAAAACTCCCTGGAAATCATCTTCAATAAAACCCACAACTCTCATTCGTACATAGTGACATGGTGTCGGGCCTACATACCTTGATTCCCTTATCTCTCTAGGCTCATTACTCAGCCCCTACACATTTACTACCAAAAACGTTTGGCATAAAATACACTGTTGCTCATAAAGTTTGAATATTTGTTTTTCTTCCCCAATTCATGGAATTATTTTGACAATGATTTATTCCTAATAGATCTAGATAAAAGTATACATTCTCAGATTGTATTGAATAATAATTTGCGAGTGTTTGTTTTGCGTGACTGCTAAACCTGTGTATGCTACTATGCTTATCTACTAGGGGACCTACGCCCTTAAGTCATAAATGACAGTTATGAGGATTAATGGCCCCACAAAAGGGCACTAATATAGCACATCGACACGGTTTTTGATCCTGGGGCCTCACAGTTACGAGGCCATTGCTTTGCCACTGAACCATGACTGTACGCAGTGGGGGCTAGGGTAGGGGGCAGTTCCCACACACACAAACAAAAGAAAATAAAATGCAATAAATGTTCAATAATTCATTGAATTCCCCCCCCCCCCGGTCTCCGACAGAAAAAAATCCTCTGTACGGCCATGCATTATGGCTCATTTATGACTTAAGTGCGTAGGTCCCCTATTTGATGAGCATAGTAGCATACACATGCTTTAGCAGTCAGGCAAAACACACACTGGCAAATATTTATTAATTTAAATTTATACTATCATCTAAATCTATTAGGATAAATAATTGTCAAAATAATTCCATAAATATTATTGGGGAAAAAGCAAAATATTCCAAGTTTATGAGCAACAGTGTAGATCATTTATTTGTAATCTTGAACATTCGTTGTGAGTTTTGTTGGATTCATTACCAGAACTAAAGTTTATTTTTAAACTAAGGACCCCAGGGGGGTGTTTCACAAAGATCCTAAGTAGAACTTAACTCTAAGTTGGACTTAAAAATTATGGACAGCCATTGTAGTCTTAAAATTAAATATATTCAAAAGCAGAAATTCAAGTATTTTAGACTTTTTATGAATTCCACATCCAGAACATGAAATCTCCTTGATGATAGACAATATGAATAATTTGAATAAACAATTAATGCCTTTCAAAATAACTTTTACAAAATATTTTCAAAGATGCTAATGGCTTTCCATATTTTTTAAGTCCAACTTAGAGATAAGTTCAACTTAGGATCTTTGTGAAACATCCCCCTGGAGCGTTATTTTTTTCAGTGGCACAGATTGGGGTTAGGTGCGTGTTGAGCCTATTGGAAAGTTTAGGGTTAGGGTTAGAGTTAGGGTTAAATCAAGACCCCCTTTTAAACAAAAGCCCCAATCTGTGCCACAGAAGAAAATAACGCACCCCGAGACTACCCGTAGCTCACCACCTCAATTTGCTGAGTCATACTATCGAGAACATTAAAGGGATAGTCGAGTTCTTTTGCAGAGAGCGCTATACAAAATATTTTTTGTGAGATAATGAAAAACTGAGTGTCAAATTGGAAAGAACAATTTAATTTAAATGACAAAGTCATCTTTGTTTGATCAAAACAAGAACTCAACTATCCCTTTAAGGTCTGTGGAATCGTTAGATAATATGGCAATAGGGATGGCCAACGCCGGGAAGCTCCGATAAGTACAAATCGCCTACCGACTGGGCTGCTTCCAACCCGATGGACTCAATGAGCTTTCCACTCATCTACCCGTTTTTTCTCTAATTTGTTTTTATATCTTGGCTTCCTCTCTATCTCTCTCTTTCTCTCTCTTTGTCTTATATGTTTTCGTCCTCTTTCACTGACGTATTTATTCACGTCCTGTCTCCTGTACTTTGCTTATCTGTCTTCCTTCGGTCTCTTTATGACGTAATATGCCATACGTGTGTGTTCTTACTTGCTACCTTCTTTTTCTTTGTGAGGTAATTATTCGCGTCCCCTCTCCTTGCGCCTTGGATTATTCAATGGGGAAATTTTGATGCATGACAAGAATTTTTTCAAATTCAAATACAATCATTACTTGACATGGCCCTGACTGCGGAAATCTTTAAAAACGATTTCTTCGTGTACGGAGCATCATCATTTCTTGTATTTGTGTGTATTTTCTCGCACTCCGGGCAGAAGTCTGGACTTTCCTTTCCCTCTCTCTCTCTACATATACATGCATCAAGATATTTGTTAGAGAGTAAGTACGGCTCTGGGATATCATTGACCTTGTCTCCTCGTAATAAAATGAGTTTAAGTGAGGTCGACCCTCTTACCCCAATTGCAATTCATATCCCCAAACAAGAGTCTGCATTTGACGTCCTCGACTGATCGAGAAAAAAAGCGCCTTGGTTATCACCTTCAATTCGGAAGAGACACGGAGTTGCTACCGATGAAACCAATTCTGACGGCTTAAAGCTTCGAGGAGGTACGTTTATTTTAACAAAAATGTGTTTATGTTGCAATTAATTCTGCATAGTAAGGTCTGACTTTTAAAAGGACAGGTTCTGGAAAGGAAATTATATGAATACTCTTCCATTTTAATGATGTACATTCGACGAGTATAGGATACCCTATATCCCAGAGTAAGTTCAATAATATGTTTGAACAATTCCCAGATAATTTACAATTTTGAACAAAGAATATTGTTGACATTTTGATAAAATTTAATTTACAAATCAATCATATGATACGTAACTTTGGGGTCAATCCGTAACAAAACTGTTACAATTCATAATTCCATAAATATCATGAATGGCTGATTGGAAACTCAACTTTTGTGAAAGAATCTCAAAAAAATACCAACAAAATGTACAAATATACGTATGTCTATATATATATATATATATGTACATGGTTACATGAAACCAATCATGAATTCTATTGTGATAATCCTCCGTCGCAGTAATATACAAATAATGATTAAAAAATGATTTGTAGGATAAAAATCAAAATGAAGAAGTGAACCATCAAGGATTTTAATTTCATTTTTTTTCTTCATTTTATAACTATATAGTACATATTTTCTATATTTTTGGGAATACGAGACACAAAACCGCTGGGACTTTAGCTTAAACTGAATATGCTATTCTACTCATTGATTTGCTAATATATGCAAACTGTTGTTTGTATAGAAGTAAAATGTCTTAACATCAAAATCCGGAGACAGCAAAGTGTACGTGTATTCGTAACCAATTTGTGAAAGTAAAACAAAAACATAAAGTGTGACAGCACAATTTAAAAATACTTTCCGTGTTGTTCCAAAAGAAATATATATCACCCTACTGATGCCTGAAGTACGTTGCCCTTGACTTTCAAAAATGAACAAACAGAAATCTGTTGGGCTTAAAAGAAATCACTTGGAAACAAATGTACCAGGCCTGCACGAACCTTACTAAAAATGGGTCATTTGCACACCCCAAGTTCAAGGGTTCGAAATATTTTTTTTTCTTCATGCTATAATATCGGTCATGACGGTGGGCTTCTATATTTAACTTGCTACATGTTATTACATCCTTACCTTTACTGCGCACACTGTCATTCCGCGGTTTCGCTGCCCTGATTAACAGCAATAGAGAAGGCTAACGTGACCTTTCAGTTATACCAATCTCTTACAAATGGCCGGATTTTTCCTTTCATTTCAGCAAACATATATATATATATATATATATATATATATATTATAGAAGTTGGAAAAGTTAAACTGTATTTGGTAAGAGTTGTACAGTCTGATTCACCCGAAGGCTCATCAGCAACGAAATACATTTTATACAAGGCAATGTTAAAAACACTCATGTGCAGTCAGGCAAGAATACAAAAGACACAAATAATACCCAAGTAAGGATGAACGCAATAATACAATAGTGGAATTAAGTGGTTTAAGTGTAAGGGGAAAGGTCATGGTGGTACGGGGGGGGGGGGGGGTTAACCATATTCAGAGAATAGAAACTTTCTCTTATGTTTACATGTGGAAATGAGTTCGGTTCTAGAGTTCAGGATGGTGGATTTCTCAGCAGTGATGATGTGGTTCTTTTCGCAAAGGCAGAGGTTACAGCGATTAGTTCTGGGTGAGTATGGTTGGGCATGCCGGATGATTCTCCATGATTCTCCGTATATATATATATATATATTTGCGGTTCTACTTATATTCAATATCAGATTCTAAATAAAGTTTATGTCAGTTATCCAATGTTTTAGCTATGCGTATGTTCTACATGTAATGCAAATTAGGGTTTGGTTTTGCCCACTCTTCTATCATATCTGTGACATTCGACAGATAAAGTTGGGGTGTTAATTATTAATCATCATGAAAATTGCACTTAATAATTAAAATTTAAAAAACTGATACTGAGTATACAATGCCTGTTGCGATAAATAATTGTTAAACTCCCAGAATGGAAATTTAGCAGACGTAGCAAATAAAAGGGATTCTCATCCAATCGAATGTCTGTAAGGCAAATCCTCATATATGTTATTAGCACAGTCGACAAAGTAAAAGGGATGAGACAAACGACAGGTTCTCGCCGTAAGCGGCGTGGATGGTGTCACCATGACAACAAAGATGCTCCACGCCTCCTTTTAATTTCTTTCTTCATGCAGGGTCTTGGTGGCAGCCTGGAGATATAAGTACCGGTACATGTGCGCTTAATTCATTAGCCACTGTATGTTGGTGGATCTGTCACAGATTTTCGATTAGTCCATTTTCTTTTTATTTCTTCTTGTCAACGAAGATGCGTTGCGTATAGCCGGCATGTCAGTGACGACGCGAGGAAGTGCGGGCGATTAAACAAAGAAGATTACCCAGTGAACTTTGATGCAGGGAAGAGCTTTCGGACAAATTTCGATCCTCGTTGAAGACCGGCTCAATTCATATGTTTGGAGTTTTGATAAACGCGAGTTTTCTTTGACTGTAAAGTGCATTCTAGCCCTTTAAAAGAGGCATCTTTCACTTCACCATGAATGATTTACGGTGTGGATGCATACCTTTATGTGGAGCCTTCATATTTGCAGTATTTGCAGCAGCCTTATGTCAAGCTGGTAAATATCTGATTTCTTGCCTCTTGTGAAGATTCACTAATTAGCTTGTCTTTAAATCACTACGGTTGTTTTAAAAACGGAAAAATGAGAATGGTTTGTTTAAAACGGGGGCGGATCAAGAACTTTTTGTAGGTGCCTTTCTCCCCTAGAATGCTCTGATCCCTTGATAAAAAAAGAAAACGCAAGAGAGAAAAGGAAGATCCTAGAAATTATGGAGGGGATGTTGGTCATATTCTTTAAAAGACTTTAACAAATTATTATTTTTATTATTATTATTATTATTATTATTCTCTTTCAAGAGGGGGCAGAGCAAATATGTACCCCCTAAAACCCACCAGTGATTTCAAGTCACAAGTATTAACTTATTATGGTCATGTTTTTTTCAATTAAAGTGAGGTTTACTTATTTAACGAAAGCTAATTTGTGTTGTGCCCCCTTAATCTGCCACTGAGGTACCTCTTGCTTTTGTCAATATTTCTTTAAAAAATGAACACAGCGGTTATGTGTTTTTAAAATGTATTTACTACTCATTGTCCATCCTGGCATGTACGGTTTTCTTTGTCTTTTAGAAACTTCCATCTAGTAGATGTAAAACTTTCATTAAACGGTTAACAAAAAATATATTTCATATTCACATGTTTATTGTATTAAATATTTTCAAAGTGTGCAATTATCAAAATTAAATTCATTTGGATTAACTTTCTTTATGAACAAAAAATAAGTTGTACATTAGACACGAGTGCAACACGGTCATAACTACTTTCGTACAATTAACGGCAATTTCAATACAAATAATGTTTTAATTGCGATATATATGTATGTCATTGTAATGTTGACACATTTAAAAAAGTGACGTACAAAGCCACTGAAATTGGCTTAGGTTAAATTTCGAGAGTGTTATTTTTATGAATTGCATCGTTGGTAGCATAATTTGCTGCTTGTAAATGGTTAAAAAGTAAGCACAAATCGGTTATAATTGTATATCAAAATTGCAAGCTAATATTTAAGAAGCCCATTTACAAGTAAACCCCTCGAAATTACACTGTTAAAACAAGTATTAAAAAATGCGGGTTAAAAAATTGTTGATTAAAAAACGCTCAACAATGGTTAAAAATGTAGTGTTGATTAAAATTTACTTTTAATCTTGCGTTGGTTAAAAACAGTGTTGATCAAAATTATTCCTTTTAACCTATGTTGGTTAAGTCTAAGTCGTTTGCAAAAATTGTAACCCAGCATGGATTAAAAACAAAATTCCGACAGTAATGATAGCCCCCTTCCGGTTAAAGTTTAATCAATGTTGATTAAAGTACTGGTCACATGACCCAACAGAACGATATCGAAGCGCGTAGCTAGCGATCGCTCGACATACAAAGTACATGCAAAGTACATGCAGTTTACGCGTGCGACAAAATTAACAATGGAGGTTGTCGCGAGGACGCTGAGGAAATGGGGGTTTGGACGGTCTTATCTCCGTGTTTTCAGGTAAGAAATTATTTTAATATTATCATCATCAATTCTAAGATTGTAAGGAAGAAGTGAAATAAGGTTCTTGCTCAAATCAAAAACGATTTGTGTCCCCTAGGCTGTACGTAGCTCCCGACGTAGCTCAACCAATAAGTAACATTTTACTTGCACCGTGCACCTGGCTAATAACGTAAGCACACACACACTCATCAGTCTGCAAGAATCTTCAACCGTGAAGGAGGCAGACCCAATTAAAGAAGGAGAAGTGTGGGCCTATTACGGATCACCTACCCAAATTGCATGCATGAAAAATAATCTTATTTTTTAAATCTAATTGTATCTAATTGTTTAAAACAATTAAATATAAAATAAGATGTCATCATAAAGTGAAACGTCTTCATGCATGCAATTTGGGTAGGTCATCCGTTACACTTACTGGCTGAGCTACAACCTACGGGCCGGGACACAAAGCGTTTTTAATTTGAGCAAGAACCTTATTTCACTTCTTCCTTCCAATCTTAGCATTGATGATAATCATATTAAACAATTTCTTACCTGCAAACACGAGGATAAGACCTCCAAACACCCGTAAGTTTAACCAACAGGGGTTATAACTGTAACCAACAACCCACTAAAGTTTAACCAACATCGTGTGAATCAAAAAGAATTAACCTACAATGGTTACAATTTTAACCAACGACCCAAGTAAGTTTAACCAACAACATGTGAATCAGCCCCAAACAAAGCATAAATAACCAACAAAAGATTAAAGTTTTAATCAACAAATGGTTAAAGTTTAATCAACACCATTTTAACCAACATTGAGCAAATTTTTTTAACCAATAATTGATTAAAAATTTTAATCAACCACAGGTTAAATTTTAATCAACAGGCTGTTGGTTAAAGTTTAACCAACGATTGTGTGAT